TAATAATAATAATTTTAATATCTATATAGTGCAAATAACATTGATATGTTCTAATGCACTTCACAAATTTCCAAGAATATAAAAAATGTTTCTATACTGTGCACTATAATGTATAAATATGGAACATACTAAAATATTAAAAATATTATGAATTGGCATATGCTTCTCTAAATAAATTAGTTTAAAAGACTTTATGTTATATACCAAGTGTCCATTTTCCACTTCACAAACCATCGTGTTTGCAACTGATTCATAGGGCACTTTCCATTTAACTCCTTTCGGTCACAAGCCATTCGCATCATATTACGACCCAATGTTCTAGTATAAATATCTCGGCGAGTATTGACCCCCCTTGTAAATAAAAGCCACCATTGAAATCCTCATAAAATAACCTTTCGAACAGGGGGTCAAGTGCCATCAGAGCATTACACAAACCGAAACAATCATATATTTACTCACCGCTTGGCCAAAGATTCTAGATTTTATATCTACAAGATCTTGAATATCTCTTGAACTTTTCGTCATTTTCTGAACGGCTATATGTGTAAAATACTCTTTGTATCCAAGCGCTTTCGTGTAGAAAGTTTCGTATGTATACGCCGACTAGAAATATTTATTTTTAATTTTTCAAGATATCGGGTTTTACTCGCACTTGCGAACATTGCGCAATAATTGGCCAATAAGAAGCTCCTGTTGGCCGGTATGACGTCAAACTCACGCGTGTAGGTGCAATTTGACCTTGCGAATCCATTTCTGGCCTTTCCAGGGTCATATGATACAAACGTCGCATTGTTTTGACGGTTTTCAGACGTATTTCCGGTTGGGATTAACTCACTTCGAGCTCACAGTCGGACAAGAAATGGAAATATACTGATAAAAGATACAGATTTGAAGATACAGGCTTGCAAATAACACTCTAAATAGTGTTTTTGATGGGGATTCGAACAAGACTATTACAAAGACGATATGTGCGAAGGGGCCGAAGTTATTTTCAGCGAAAGGTATGGCTAGTCTATATTTTGTTCAGACAATTGCGTAATTTGATACAATATTATCGTGTTTGACTTTCAAAGGCCCATAAATCGTTACAATATTAATAATGACTATAACTATCGTTTGGAACTAGTCTATCTTTTAATTCTGAATCGATTGGTGGTATTTCTGTCTTCATAGCATGCACTGAACCGAAGGTATGAAATTTATAGCCGTCGATCGCTCAGGATCGATACAACTGGGTTGTGATGCAAAAGAGTTAATGGGCTGACTGGTCAGACCCAAATTTTTGTCTCTGTATCAATGGAAAGATCTAGTATATGTTTCTCAATATTTAGCGTAAATGGACCTCATTCTAATTTTATCTAAATTTTTGGGACAGATAGGTCCAAAGCCAAAACGTTTTGTGTTTCATTCAACAATTTGACCATTCTGACCAGTCTGGACGTGTTAATGGAAAGCACCCATAGTGCTTTATTTATTGACCAATAAGTAATAAAACCAAAAGTGGAGCACACGACAACAAGCAAGTTTACAGGGCTGGGCACTGTGGGCAAGTGTGAATGTAAACAAACGGACCTTGGACCTGGTTTGCACTTTACATATTTTGTTTGTCTTATTTAACAGTACTAGTAAATAAGTGATATAACATGCTATTGCTAGGTATCTGGAGTACAATATGCACTCTAGTCAGTAGCCATTGTATTTTTAGTATTAAGTAACATTTTTTAAATAAAAGTGAATATATATTAAAAACATGCAGATCTAAACATATTTAAATATTGAAATGTATCTCACCTCTTAAAAAGTCTCTTAAATCCTCCATAAGTTTTCTGTATCGAAATATTTTTGAAATGTCAGCAGATATAAATTACTCTCGGCTGCACGTTGCAAACTTTCCAGACTGGGTTGTATGGATTGCTTGTATTATACCTTATTTTTTTATTAAGATCTCAGTAAATGTTATAATAATAAGTTTGTTATAAACTTCACTCAGTCATATTACGCTAATAAGTTTATCGATAATTCCAGATCATATCACAAAACATGAATGATTATCCATTTGCAGTAATTTAATTTTTCAGTTAAAGAAACTAAATTTTGCATGTATTCACTGGCATATATTATATTATATATTATACATATTATATATATTATACATATTATACATATTATATATATTATATATATTATATATATTATATATTATTGTTATTCATTTCATAATATATTAGTCAAACAAGCAAACAGCTCGCAGTAAACCTGGAATCAGTTGAAACAAGGAAAAATCTTCAAGAACCAGTGCTATCATAAAGAATAAATCAAGCTTGATTCCCACAAAAATCAGATGGATAAACAAATTATTGATTACAAAGGCTGTGTTTATGCTATAATGCTACACCGCTACAGCTATCATTCCATTCAAAATTTAGTATGTTTCTAGTATTGAGACTACATTGTGTTTACACTATAACGGAGTGGTTTGCCGTTGTGTACTAACTACGGACCACCACATTTGACACTCTGAATACAAATGAATTTCGTTAAAAATTCACTACCTTTCTTAGCATTGTGTTCACACAATAAAGGAATGGTTTGCTGTGGCTTATTAACTATGGACCACTATGTTTGGCACTGTGGATGCAAATCACTATGCTATGGTAAATTTGCCATAGTGTCATAGTGTAAATGAGACCTAAAACGTGACCTTGATGGTGGGAAAAGCCTTGTGGAATTGATTACATTGAAATTACAGAAAGATTTTTTTTTCAACATTGCTTGTCTTGGGTGGACTTGGCATTGGGATCCATTATGAGCAACTGAACAAGATTACAGATCAACAATGTGGTCACGAAAACAGTCGAAATTGTGCCCAAATTTGCGTAAACAGTTTGTCTAAAAAGACAACTTTAAACTAGATTCAACCAACGTTAATATGGTCGAGTGTTTGATCGCATATTTCTACTCAAAAATACCCTTAAAAATATCGTATGTGCTCACTTGTATTCCTTGTTCATATTTCTTGTGATTTCAGACTTCTATTTTTGATAAAGTTTGGAGAAATCCTCATCTTTTTGGCTGAATATCTCGCGCATGGTTCACAGAAGAACATGACCCAAAACGTCAATACACTCGCTTTAATTTTGTGCCAAATTTTCAAAATTTCATCATTCAACATATCGTCAGCCATCTTGGGTGAAATTCAAAAAAATTATCTTTGGGTCAAATGACCGGTGTGACGTCATTAGTAGGGTAGAATCAAAACAGCAATATATTTTTGTATTGTGTTCATCGAGATTTGATAGGTTTTATAAGGAAATTGTAGGTTTTTATTTGTTCTAATTAAAAATATTCACGAGAACCGAGTAGAAGTGTTATCTTACCAATTCGAACCAGAAGCGGGAGCAAACATAAGCAATATTAGTGAGGAAAATTCCAAACAAGGCAGTGATTACTGATTTGTCTTTGTCTCACGAGGAAATCGATCATGATTTGGAAAGTTGGCACCTTCAGACTCTTAGTTGGTGTGAATGTGAACATTGCACTATATCAGCATAGGCTACTGAATGGTTTTGTTGTTATGAGAAAGCATTTGAGACTTTTTGTACAACAAATGTGATGTGCTTCTTGACCAAACAGAGACACAAGGCGAAAAGTGTTTGAAAACACATCCGGACTTTCAATACAATATGTGTACTAAAGATAAATGTTGTCGTTGTCTCGAAACTGGTGGATCTTGAAAAAAGACAAAATATATTGACTTGGTGGCATATCAGCGATGTTCTTGCACGGTTTTCCAGATTTGGGGGAAAATTCCTGCTTATGTTTAATTCACGAATACGAGAACTGGTTCACATAGCCCGATGGCTTTTCACACATTTTAAACATGATGTAGATACAGAACCACAAATAGGAAATTAAGATGAATCTTACACAATGACTGAGGGAAAGAACTTTCTGTGTTTAAAACATGAAGTGTGAAGTAAAATATGTTGTTCCAAAATTTTAGATATTTAATACTGTAGGTTCGCCTTTCCATAAAGGTCATAACGCAATGTCTGTATAAAGTGTATATACATGTGTAATGTTGCATCTTGTCACTTGTGTTTGATGTTTATAGAAATATACCTTGAAATACTACAATCTTATATAGTATAATGTTTTTTGCTGATAAGTACTGTACAACATATTTCTGCAATACAACATATACTGTACATACACCATTGGAATATATGGCATGTGTGTAATAAAATTATTTGGCAGATTTCCAGTATGCAGTCAAGTTCTAAGCTGTAACTGCGGATTGTGAGAGATACAACTACCTGAAAAATACAAGCAGAACTTACGAAGGGCCTTCACTCAAACGTTGAAATTATGCTTGCAGTTTTTCATCTGCGTTATCTCTCGCAAATCGCAATCCGCAGTTATCGTATCTACCTACACTGGTACAGACCGTTCAAATTCTAAGCACATTGAACAGCTCAAATATATGCTTTTATTGCAAATATTGTCAAAAACATATATGTAGAACAGCGATACCTAGCTATTGCACAATTATTTGATTGCATTTGCTATGCATCTTTCATATTTTTGACAAAATGTTCTTACAACATTGGCAAATGCACAATATAATTTACATTGTCAGATTTGTGCTTACCCTACTAATGACGACAGTAAATGTCTTCATGCATAAGTGAGCTACACGTTTTTTTTTCAAAATGGCCGACGACTGTTCAACGTTTTCACAAATTTTTTCAACAACTAAACACAGTGGACAGACAAAAACACGAAATTAAGTATTCTGCAGGAAAGTTTAATAGATATAAAGAATAAAAATTTTCATTGCCAATGTCCTTTAAAATAATTATTTACGTTTTCACCCAAAAGGGAAGGAACAGCCATTGGGCAATTTACATAATAGAAAAGCAGTCTGGAAGGATGACAAGGTAATTTGAAATGTGAACAAAGTTTACAAACCCTTTCATTCATATTTAAAGTAATTATTTATGTTTTTAGCCAAAGAACAAGGAAGGGGGCCATTGGGCGATTTATATGATGATGATTCTGATTATGACGTGTCATTGGGTAATTTATATAATAGAAAAGCAGTCTCGAAGGACGACAAGGTATGTTTGAAATGTGACCAAAGTTTACAAACATTTTCATTCTTATTTAAAATAATTATTTATGTTTTTAGCCAAAGGACAAGGAAGAAAGTGGGACAGAAGCATCGTCAGAATCAGAAAATATGTCAGAGGTAATTTTATTTGTTAGGCAACATACACAATCTTAATATACATTCCAATACAATATTATAATAATTTTTGGAGAGAACACAACACAGAATCGGATTCATCAATGGTGTCGATATGTTTGTTCGAGGAGGTTAGTTTATGTTCTCTTTGTATTCTAAAACATTGCATTTCTAATTCTAACTCATTTTTCTGTAGAATAAACAGCGGCCAAAAGCATGCCCGAGGTGTGGGCACGACAGTCTGGTTTTGCTCAAACACCTTAAGAACACCCACAAAATAGATGATGCGGAAGCAAAATGGATAACAGTAAAGCTAAGGCTGGTCAAGGAGAACAAAGAGGAAGAGAACAAGTAAAATTCCCTGTTCCCAACTGCAACTGTCGTATTTGTCATGTTGACAAACATGACAAATGTAAAAACTGTCCACAATGTAAAAACTAATGACGCTCCGTATAGAGTGAATTTATTGTAATCTTAATAAAGCTTATAGTTTTATATTCAATCATACATATATTTAATCTAATGCTGTTTTAATACGGTGTTTTGAGTTTAGTTCTAGTTTAGCTTTAATTTTAATTAACCACTAATTTATCGCTTTATTCTACATTAATTTCTTTTGAATTTTCTTCACAAATTTTGAGTTTTTAATTCAAGAATCTGCTCAGTTACTGTTCGTTTTAGTAAGAGTTGTTAAATATTTAGTTTTTCTTTTTTTCAGTTCTCAGAGGATAAAAAGAATTTTGTTCAGTTTTGGTTAAAGTTAGGTTCTAGTATTTATCTCAAAAATTAGTTTAGTTCTAGTTTAGTTTTAGTTTAAAATGGGGTTTTAGTTTTGGTTCTAGTTGACTAAAACAGCAATAACTTAAACCAGATACAACAATGTCATAATGATGCAATGTGAAATGCAGAGAAAAATTTCATCCAAAAAGGCAAGGCCATCAACACAATCAAAAACATCACTGCCTCTACCAACATCTGTGGACTTTGGGATAACAAATCGCTAGGAAAAATTCGAAGGCAATTCTTCAAAAACAATAACACAGCACTTAAACATAGGTAAGAGTAATGACTGGAAGGCAGGTAACGAACAGAATAAATTATCTCTCAAAGAGACTATTCGCAGACTTGGTGGGAAGTGTTGGAGATTCTCAGCTTCGGAAAGCTGTAGTATCAGCCCATCGCAAGACCCAAACCATTCGGTGTCAGCCACCGACCTTGCCACCCAAATGACACATAACCTCTCCACGGCAAATCAACATTACCATATGGACGATAGAGTAAAACAGAAAATGATTGCTGGGCAATACCTGGACATTCTGACTAAAGAAGGAGCAACAAAGAAAGCAACGTCAGCCGAGAAGCAACAACAACAGCAAAGAATGACCCTAGCAAGAAACCAAGAACATCATCATCAAAAGGCTCATTGACCTAAAAACGTCTTTAGCGAATCACAGACGGCCATGAATGACCAGGCCACCAATATGTTCAAGGACAGTGCAAGGACCAGGACTGTCACGACAACAATCTGTTGGGTATTTTAAAAAACCAACACGATTGTGACAAATTGAAAAGCAGATTGCAAGAGATACAACTACCTGAAAAATACAAGCAGAACTTTCACATTTCGAGCGAAGGCCATTCGTTGGTAAGTTGACGAAGAGCCTTCACTCAAACGTCGAAATTCTGCTTGTAGTTTTTTGTGTGTGTTATCTCTTGCAAATCGCAATCCACAGTTATCGTATCTACCTACACTGGTACAGACTGTTCAAATTCTAAGTGCATTGAACAACTCAAATATACGCCTTTATTGCAAATATTGTCGAAAACATATCCAGGGTTGGTATATTGGCCTTTTTGAGATCAAATAACTCGATTTTGGCTTTTTTTCTTGTTTGGCCTTGGAAAAAGTTTGGCCTACTTTTTGGCCTCTTTTCACTTCAAAATTTTTTTTTAGAATTATATTGATCTTTAGTTGTAAAAATAACTTAGATGTACAATAAATGATGTGAGAGGTTGATTTGTAATGTAAATTTCAAAAATAATCATATGGATAATCCAGTTGTATTTTCCGACAACCACAGCTGATGAAATTCAGCCAATTGTAATGCTGATAAACTAACCAATAACAATTAAACAAGCACTGTCTTCACAGCCATCCGCCTCAGCGGCTAATTATATAAGGGGGTGAGATGATCTAAAATCATAAATATTGATGAGAGTTTTGCGTTAAAAATTTATGGCGTCAAAATGGAAGAGAAAGTACAACAAAGCTTGGGAAGGTAAATTCAGCTCATTCACTAATGCTTCGGGTGGCAGTGAAGATGCTTTTTGTAAGCTGTGCCATGCCACGATCAGACCCAAACAAGCTAACTTGACAAAACACAAGAAAACTGAAAAACACATGAAACCTGTCAGAGTTTCTACCACTACAAAGTCATCCAAGTTGTACGTGTCCTGAAATCATTGAGCTAGCTGTCACAATGGCATGCCATTCAGCAATTTTGACTATGGATCATCTCAGAGAGATAATCGCCCGCAATGCACAAGGAAGAAAACTCAGGAACATTAAAATGCATAGGCGAAAGTGCACAAAAATTTTGACGAACGTTGTCAATCCAACATTGAACGAACAATTGATTGCTGATGTCCAGGGAAAGTTTTCATTAATTGTCAATGAATCTACCGATGTTTCTACCGCAAAGCAACTCTGCATTATCGTACAGTATTACAACAAAGTCAAGAAGAAGATCCTCACAGTGTTTTTTTACCTGATTCCTGTTATCCACACTTCTGCAGACGATCTTTTTAATGCCATCAAAGATTGCCTTACCGAAATTAAACTCAATTTGGTGGACTGTGTTGGCTACGCTAGCGATGGTGCTTCTTCGGTGTGGACAAGAATAGCTGCTGTTGCTCCGCACTGCATCAAGATGGCATGTATTTGCCATTTGTTGTCCCTTTGTGTTCAGTATGCATTTGAGAAGTTCCCATTGAGTCTTGGATTTCTTCTGGCAGAAATTCCCAAATGGTGCTCAAAGAGCACTGTAAGAAGAGAAGCATACAAGATGCTCTACAAGGTGATGAATCACAATGATGACCAGAAGGCACCATTTGAGAAGTATTCTACCACGAGGTGGCTGGTGAGAGGAAAGGTTATCTTTCGTATTCTCACAATTTGGAATGAGTTGAAAGCCTACTTCCTTACAGCACAACCAGCATGTACGCAGGTGGCACGTTTCAAGGCACTTATTCTCCTGGACATGCTCAAAGATCCGATCCTGTATCTATATTTCCACTTTGTTTCGCCTGTGGTTGCAGAATTCGACAGGGTGAATGCTTTCTTCCAGGCAACAGATGCTGATCCAGAAGAAATGTTCACAGAATTGTATTTGCAAAATAAAAGTCTATGTGGTACAATTTTTGACCTGGAAGGAAAACCACTTGCCATTCATAAGGTTGACTTTGGCGGAAAGTTCTTGTCTGAAGCAATGAAATACATTTCTTCCTAACAAGACAAAGCATGTGCTGAAGCTAAAGTTCTCAAAGTGAAAAATCTGCGTCTAGAGCTGTAAATCAAGTGGAGAAACCGTCTACCTGCTGCCCGTAACATCTTCAAAGGACGACAAGATTTCTCCACAATCTCGTACTCAGATGGGTGACGGCTACGACTTTTTCGCTTCAGTACAGGATGGTGTAAGCATACAGCATGCATTTCGCTTGACAAATCTCATACTCATAGCCACTGCTAAAGCTCCCTAATGCCCTTGATGCAACAACAAGAGTCCAATTCCAAAGAGAAAGGTAACGCGATAGAGGAGCAGTACAAGAAGATTGTGCACCGAGATTGGAAGGAGGATCCAATTTTCAATGGCACCATACCTGATACAACGGTCGCATTTTGGTCTCGGATCATTCAGTTCCAAACTTCTCTTGGAGACAAACGGTTCGAAAATTAGCAACTTACACCTTAGACCTTAGACTGCCTGACGAATCCTGTAAGCAATGCAGTGGTGAAAAGAACCTTTTCCTTGGTGACGGCGGTGAAGACCAAACAAAGTTATAGGATTGGAACTGCTGAACGCCATCATTCGTATTCGCTCCAATTCGCCGAGAACTGCTGCATTAACTTTAAGGTGACTAAGCGAATGCTTGAGTTGTTTACCGCAAACATATGTATCAATATGTATCAATAAACTGTCTATACATATATAATTATACATCTATATATATATTTCAGAGTGACAATGACAATTATGTCTATGACAGTGATATCGGATAGAAAGACTGATAAAATATTAATATTTTATTTTAAAGTTTTGTACTTTTGCCTTGTGCTTGTAGAGGCTTGTAACGCTTGTTAATAAATATTTTCACATCCAGTAGTTGTTTGTAACGTTATCTTTTTCCCACTCGGTCAACCAGTGCTCTCTTTACAGACTACCCAAGTCAAGTGGCAAGTACTGATTACTCAACCGAGGAATCAAAAGTCCTGGGCACGAGCTTGCCATAGTGAACTCTTTTTGGCTCAATCTCATTCTCTGAGCCTGTGTTTGTCCTGTGGTGGGAACGATATGCCACCACATGCCAAAGGGAACACAGGCTCAAGGAACGAGTTGTTTTTGGCTTCTTTTGAAAAAATAATAGTTTGGCCTCTTTTGGTAGATTTTGACTACTTTTCAAACTATATTTGGCTGCAAGTAGCAATGAAGTTGAGGTCTTGATTGATCATTCTACAACTGTAGAGGAATCACCTGATCAATTCACAGTGGAGAAAAAGTGTTTTAACATAGCTGCAATATTACGAAAAGCAGTCGAAAAGAATCGCAGTCTGTTTGGTTCCTTGACATAACAGCCAAGGTGATATCAGTCGAGGACATATGTATCGTTGGAAAACATCCCAACAATATACAAAAACGAGATGTTGAATTAGCTGATGAATCTGGGATTATAACTATGGTTCTTTGGAGACAATGTGCAGAAAATTTCGAGTTCAAAGTGAATGATGTACTCCGTCTTGAGAATATAGTAACCACAATCTTTAACAACAAAGTGATGTTGTCTACCATTTTGAAACATCAATTGTCAAAGTTGAAGAGGAAATAAAAGGTCCCAGCCATAGGAAAGCTACAAAGTCGAAAGCGTGATTTAATCTCAACTTCAGAGATAGGTGTGTTGGCCATTAAAGAGTTTAAAGCAGTTTACAAGTGTTTAGCTGCAAAGGAAAGATACACTGGACCGTAGCTTGAAAGGGTGGTTCAGATGCCTTGATAACCCTGTCCCACATGTTCCACAACCTTTCTGGCATGTTCAGCATCTATATCTAGTGACTGCATGGTGCTTCTGTCATGCGATCATCAGTGGTATTCAGCTAATAGTGGAGTAAGTAGGAATCATTGTGCACATTTGATTGATAATGTAGTTATTATTTCACCTGGTATATACCTAATATTGTAAGTTACCTGATGGGGCTATTAGTAAAACCAAGAACACCGGAACAGCATCATTCTGGAACACTGGAACACCAAAAATTCTTCATTTTGTTAACAATTAGAAAAAAGTAACCGGGAGGGGGGGGGGGAATTATTGCAATAAACATGCTTTTTAATATTCTGACTTGGCAATTGCTACTAATTATGAACTAAAATCAGTCTCAAAGTAATAAATATTTACCTGAAAAGAAGAAACCAAAATACAAATAATGTCTTTGTGTATTGTTCAAAACATGACCTTTGGCTGGCTTTCGGTCAATATTACTAGTGTAACAACATTTGATTGGCTTCCTAGCTTGTTTTTTACTAACTTTACTTTTGAAGTTGAAAAGGTTAAAGGGCATACAGTATGACTCGAAAATTGACGGTGTTATTTTTTAGTCTAATTTGAAAGATCATTCGGAAAACTGTAGAGTAACTTCTTTGACAGATTTTTGTTTTTCTTGCTTTGTTTCGGAGACATATTTCATTTTGTATAATATGCAAAGGACCAATTTCTATGTCACACATGCATAACAAATTACTTTAAAATGTTATATAATTTTGTCACTATATCAAATAAATTCGCTCAAAATTAATGATGAGCAATGTGGTTTGTCCACAACAATGCCCATGTAGGTTTTCTACTGATTGTGTTTAGTCATATTAAAGATATACAGCTTTTAGGGCTAAATTATTATGCATATGTGACGTAGGAAGTTGGTCCTTTGCATATCATACAAAATTAAATATCTTCAAAATGAAGCAAGAAGACAAAAACCTATCAAAGAAGTTACTCTACAGTTTTCAATGATCTTTCACATTAGAATAACAATGTCAATTTTTGGTCATATGCCCTTTAAGGATTTCTTTTAACAAGATTTATATAAAGAAACATTGCACTCAGTAACAGATGATCTATACCATAATTGGTCACAACAGGTGCAAATATATTCTGGTTATGAAATAACTGTTGCCTTTGTTACATCAATTTGTTGTCTCGAATCATCAGAGTTACCAGGTATCTGCAGAGCTTCTACTTTCCTGTAGTTATTAATCTTAGTTCCATTTTTACTACAATCTAACTTTCTTTTAATATATTGCCTTTTTTGAGTGTCTTAACTCTTTCTGAATAGTTCTGCTTGCATGTACATAATATTTGACAATTTTGACAACTCCGCAACCTTTTTAATATTTAATTACCTGTATGTTGCAATGGCTGTTTTATTAGATTCTTTGACTTTTTCAGGATTTGAATGTCTGTATGTTGCAGTGGCTTTTTGCCAAGATTCCTTAATTTTTTCAAAATTAGAGTTTTTGTATTTCTTACTATATGACTTTTTTCTCTCGCTTTCTTTTTTTTAAAAAAAATTGTTTTTTGACCTTTTTTCATGTATTCCTTCATATATTCTTTCTTTTCTGAAAATTTTTCATTAAGACTGAGTTTCCTGAGATATTTTTATTACTGTTAGATTGCAAATATTGTCGGTTTGGTTTTTGTTTACCAGTTGCTGTCTGATTTCCTATTTGTTGATAAGCAGATTGTTCAATTGGCGTTGTAGAAACATAATGCAGTTCTTCAAGATGTCCTATATAAATCTCTTATATTTCCCTGAGGCTGAGCATAAATAGAGGTTACAACTGTATAGTTTCAGTAAAATTTTGTACACTTTCTGTGATGCATGTACAACTGCCTGTGTGATAATATGGTCTGCCCATGAGCCTAGCTTTGACATATTCTAAATAATGCGACCATGATTGTTCAGTATTAGACTATATGAAATGTTCTGGACAGTTTATTAAATGTTGGATTGCAAGAGCTCTTATTTGGGCATGACGACTTTCTGTTCTGTAAAGCTGACGGCCTACACTACGAAATAAACAGTTACCATCACTGACAATGTTTACTGACCTCTCCTCCTAATCGAGCTAGTCTGGTGGTCAATACCGACATATTTGAGATATTTAGAGGACCTGGGTTTAACTCTACATCACCAGACACAAATGTCAGATATCTTTATTCTTTGCATATTACATTTACTAGTGCCGAAAACTTTAAGTTTAATGCTGTTTGATTTAACTCTTTAAAAGCAGGCCCCTATAAACATAGTACGTGCACGTACTATGACACTTTGCCTATTCATATCTCCTGTTTGGTGCACGCTATGTAGATGAAAATACCACCATTCGATTCAGTGAAACAATATCTCCTAATACCTATCGATAGTTTTAGTCAAATATAGTTTTAGCAAAATTGTATAACTATTTATGACCTTTTGACAGGTCAAGCGGTGTCATATTTCATTATATTAATCAAATTGTCTTGAACAATGTAAACTATCCATACCTTTCGCTGAACATAACTTCGGCCCCTTTTGAGATATCGTTTTCGCTATAGTCTTATTCGAAACAGAATCCAAAACACTATTGAAAGTGTTATTTTCAAGCTTGTAGCCTTAGTTTTTCGTCTTTTATTTCGGTATTTCAATCTGTTGCGAAACTACTGAAATCAGCGGGATATTTTTAACCGGAAATACACTTTAGATCACCCAAAACATTGCGTGTTTACATCCTAGCGCTCGGAAAACATCGGAAATCGATTCTAAAGGTCAAATTACATCTGGAGCGTGATTTTCACGTGCATTGGGCTACGGCATACTCCTTATTGGCCAATTTTACATGCAGCACGCGCGTGCGAGTAAAAACCCGATGAAACCCGATATACTAAAAAATTCCAAATAAACATTTCTACTGGTCGTATTCAAACGAAATTTTCTACATAAAAGCGCTTGAATACAAGGAATATTTCACTAATATTAACTTGTGGCGAAATCTGAAAGGTTTAGAAAATATTCAACTTTTTCTCCATATGAAAATACAGAATGTTTGGCCAAGCGGTGAGTAAATATATGATTGTTTCAGTTTGTGTATTTGTTTTGATGGCATTAGACCCCCCGATGAAAAGCTTATTTTGCTAGGATTTCAATGGTGTTCTTTGTTTTTAAGGGGGGTGAATACGCGCTGAAATATTTACGTTATAAAACAGTTAAATCAAAATGTTGCTTGCCGTGAAAAATGTCGCATGTCGAGAAAGAGTTAAATTAAACCTGGTAGTCTTAATTGACTTAAAAAAAGCATTTGATACTGTCGACCATCAAATATTATTGAAAAAATTAGAGCTTTACGGAATAAAAGGACAAGCTCTGTCTTTCCTAGAATCATATCTCTCAAATAGAAACCAAAAATGCCAAATAGGCAAATACAAGGATCTGTTTCATCAGAGAAATTGATCAAATGTGGCGTACCACAAGGCTCTATTTTAGGGCCCCTATTTTTTCTGTTATATATTAACGATTTGCCTCAATGCCTGGATAAAACAAAACCTCGGTTGTTTGCTGACGATACGAACCTGACAGTTTCTGGAGACTCTATTACTGATCTTGAAACTGCAGTGAATTCTGATTTGGAAAAACTTAGGAAATGGCTAATTGCCAATAAAAGTAGTCTAAATGTTGCTATAAGACTGAGTTTATCTTAATTGGTTCAAAACAAATGATAAAAAAATATTTCAAATTTGCAACTAAATGTGAAAATTGAAAACGAGTCAATTAAACAAGTTTATGAATCCAAAACTCTTGGAGTAACAATTGACCAGCATTTATCTTGGAAAACTAACACTGAGAATATTTGCAAAAAAATCACATCTGGAATATCGGCTCTTAGGCGTTTAAAAGAATTTGCTGATAAGCAAACACTTCTTTCTGTATATAATGCTATTGTTCGCCAATATTTTGAGACTCCAAAAACTACAAAACAGAGCTGTTCGGATTATTTTGAATATGAGCAATGACATAGATCACTCTGTTGCATTGCAAGCATTGGGCTGGAAGCCACTTAAAACAGAAAGGAAGAAAAGTAAAGCAAAAATCATGTACAAATTATTGAATAAAATGGGACCCAAATCACTTAGTAATTTCTTCACATATAAGGGTGAGGTGACAAACTACAAACTTCGGAACATTTCAAGTAGTCTTTGTTTACCACAACCGCGTACTAATAATATGAAAAAAAGTTTCGTGTATGATGGAGCACACCTTTGGATTTCTATTCCCAGGGGCGTAGGAAGCATCAAAAAGTTGGGGGGGGGGCTTGGTTTCGAGGGGCACTTTTAGAATGAAAAGGGCACCTAAAAATTTTTCCCGGAAATGTTGGCGGCGGGGGGCAGGTGCGTGGCTGGCATGTATGGTTGGGGGTGTAGGCCAAAAATTTCCGAATGACGAAAAAAAAATTCCGAATATTTCATGGCCTACGAAGCCACGAAGGTGTTTGCTATCCGGAAAATGAAGACGCAATTTACGCAATTTACAAACAAAAATAACGCATATTTTACGCACAGACGTATGACAGAAGCATGCAGTGCTGTAGAAATCTCTTTTTGATTGGGGGTTGAGAACGAGGGCCAAAGGCCCGAGGAAATTTTTAAATTTAGAATCTCTGAAATGCCATTTCCTGGACTTTGGGAAAGTTTTGACAGAATTCTGATGGTCAGAAAACAGCGTTTTATTCTGTCGAAATTTACAATTTGCTTGCAATTTAGTTGTACTAAATGGGCGAAGGCTTATTTAATTAACTATATATTGGGGAAGTTGAAAGTATGGATAATATAATTCTTTGCAGTTTGTCGTGGATAATGTAACCGCTTAAAATTAATCAATTGTCATTATTTTAAAGGTATACTATTTAAATGATAAAGGTCTGCATAATTTTGGAAAAAAGAATGGTTATTAGCATATTATTGGGAGAGCTGCAGCCCTCCTCCCAACTCCCCCCCTCCCCTCGCGGTTGCTTCGGCCCTGAGAAGTAATAAACCGAAAAACATTTACCGATTTACGATTTCAGTTAAATGGTATCCACATAAATGCCATGATTTCGTAAATCAGTTTATACTGACAATACAATTATGTTATTAACAACTAAAATTTTGTAATACTATTATTGCCGTAATTTTCCGAATGGCTAACCCGATTTTCCGAATATGTTAATTTTACCCTACCTCGCTACGGCCCTGGGGGAGGGAAAAAAAATAAATGCAATCATAAAGGGCATCTAAACAATTTTTCCCGGAAATGTTGCGAAAATGTTGGCATTAATTAAAGGCCATTGAGGCAAAAATGCAATCTGAACAACATTTTTCACGAACACAAAGAGCACTTTGCCACCGAAAAAAGGACACTTTTAAAAACTTGGGGGGGGGGTTTCCCCTCCCCGGTTCCTACGCCCCTGTCTATTCCTAAAGAAATAAGAGGGAGCAAATCTTTTTCTTCCTTTCGAAAGAAAATCGCTACTCACATTGATTGATAGCTAATTTATAGATGTTAATATTACCTGTATATAGATTACTACCTTAGTTTGTTATAGTTCATATAATACTATATATCTTATGTAATTTTGTAAATAGTTTTAAAATTCTTTCCTGCATACTTTTCGCACGCCCCTCGTGGAAATCAGCTTCGGTTGACGGGGTCAGCGTGTTTAAATAAAGTTTATCTATCTATCTATCTATCTATCTATCTATCTATCCACAGAAACATTCTATAAATGTTTGCTTTGAGATCTTCAAAAAAGTTTAAAAAAGTAAAACAAGTTAAAAAGTTAGATTTTCAAAGTTACTGAAAAACAGTTAATTAGAGTTAGGGTTATAAATTCGGACGTGTTCAACAATTTACTTGTATAGTAAACTCAAAGGTGGAGTTCATGCTGAAACACCTCGTTTACTGAAATAAACTGATCGACATTAGTCGAACACCTGCACATGCAGTATTTATCATGTATATAATTTAAAAATTTCACCGATTATATAAACATATTCCTTTGTTGTAATTATAGAAAAAAAAATTACAATACCTTGTTCAAAAGCTTCATACTCTGCATAAAATCCCAAGCTTTTTGACAAATCTCCACTATTCCTTGCATAGTTGTTACCCGATTTGAGAACAATGTATAAGTTATTCATTTTCGATGTCACTTTTGCTCCTGAAGTTGCATTTTTGCCACAAAATCTTGCTAAAAGCGTTGATGCGTTATCATGTCTTCCATCATAAATATCCAAATAATTTTCTTCACAGTTCGGAATGTTCATGGTTTGAAGTTTCATCAAAATTCTCAAGGATGCGTTGACTGTTACTGACCAGGAGCAGACTTGAAAATCTGGATAGGAATTGTTTAGAACATTTGGAGAGGAAAACGACCCATTATCATTTTGTAATTTGTACTGACAACCTACAACATAAATCAAACTAAATAAATTAAACAAACCGTGCATGTAGCTACGTAGTCGTAGATAAACGTGAGTGATGCATATACCTGCATGTATGTGATATTTAAGAGGCAGTCCGTCATAAAAACCAACCACTCGAATTTCTTAAGATTACAGATTTCCTTCAAACTTTCTGTGTGGAAGAAGTCATTCATAGAATGAGCAAAAAACGTTGACTTGGAAATTGTAGTCAGTTTTAAAAATTTTTTCGCAATTATTTTCGGACGCGTTCGAAAACAAGTTAAAACGTTAATTACGCAAGTGATATTTGAGCTTTTTTATATCTCACAGTTCATCTCGCGCTTTTATTCTAACTTCTTGAAACTTACATATTTTATTATTTCCTGCCTAGGCATAAACCTAAACTAAAAATTATGCTGGTCACTTGAAGCAAACAAAATATTGTGTATTTTTAAAAACGTCTTTCAGACAGCGGATTAAATATTCGTGTTAGTATGCTGGCGGTAAATTATTTTTTCTCAAAAGTGCAACGGTATCAGGTATCCAATCTATTGCAGCTACTGAGTATTATGACACATCTACTAGAATAAATAATAAAATCTTTGGGCAGTGTGTTTTTCACTTGACAAGCGCGTCATGAATATAGTCAATTTTCGCTAATTCGACTAATTATAAGCTATAATTACCTCCGCCAGGAGGTTATGTAATCATCTGGGTTTGTATGTGTGTGTGTGTGTGTGTATGTGTGTGTGTATGTGTGTGTGTGTGTATGTGTGTGTGTGTGTATGTGTGTGTGTTTGTCTGTGAGCACGATAACTCAAGAAATACCAAACATATCCGTACGAAATTTTTTGAATGCATTTCCCATCGGCTAAGGAAGAACTGATTAAAATTTGGTTGAATTTGGTTAAAAATTGAACGAGAAATGAACAAAATTTTGTCTTGCTTTTCCCGGTCAATTAACAAAATATATTACTGAATGCGTAATTAGGACGTGTATAATTTATGCACTCAGTGCTAAGACATAATGAGATGATAAACCTCATTAAGCTTCGGCCTTCATTATCTATTGTCTTAGTTGCATTTCACGCGACCGAAATTCAATGTCTAAAACAAGGCTTACGGAGTTACGCATTATTACGTTCAGCAAAGTGCCAGTCCATTCAAATTCTAACAACATTAGATTACTTCAATACAGGGTGTATAAAAAGAACGCAACCTCGGAATTTCCCAAGAAATCGACATTGTTTTAAAGACAAAAGATTTTAGCTGCCTGGGAATTTAAAATAGCACAACTGTGAAAATTACTGCACGCGCGAGTGCATAAAGCAAAATTTATGCATTTATTTAATGACCCTTAATAAGTTTTTATTTTACAAGTACTGTACAGCACAACAACAGTAATATGTTCTATTAGCAATTCGATTTCAATTCGCGGGGGCCTGAAATCTTTTATGCTTAAGAATTGTAAAGTGGATTTCTTAGGAAATTCCAAGGTTGCCTTTCACTTCCGAGTAACTGGCGGAGGTATGCAGTCTCTGAGTGCCCTCTAGTTTGTTAATGCATTTACTTAAATTTTTTCGCGTTAAAAACATACAAAATTGTTCACTATGTTTCAAATATGGCTGTTTTTTCGATAGAGACTAAGTTATAAATATGCCAGCATTTATGCTATATAACAAACGTACTTGCAGGGAGGTGAGTCCGGGATTGGACGCACCGAGGGTGGCTGGAAGTTTCCCGAACTTACCGAGCGAAGCGAGGTGAGTTCGGGAAACTTCCAGCCACCCGAGGTGCATCCAATCCCGGACTCACTGAACCTGCAAGTACGTTTGGTTTTTATCCCATACACCGAGCCATACACACATTTGTAGCTCTTCGCGATATATTCGTCGATGTTTTGTGAACATTTTCCCGGCCAAAAAATCACTGGGCAAGAAAATACTTCTTTATCTACGTCTACATTACCTTTACTGCATTTTTCTTTGGTTTTTCTTCAGTCTCAGTATGTTAGTCACCGAAAAAAGTTCTTTAAAGTTTAGGTTTATCGGCTAAATCTTGTCCGCCATATTTGTTATTGTTATTGCAACGTAAGCAGTTTAGCGGGTGAGTTCGGGCGAAAAACAGGTGAGTTCGGCAAAAGCAGGTGAGCTCGACGACAAGCTCACCTGCTCTAAACCAATCAGAAAGCCGCTTTTAACACAGGTATGGGATAAGCTTTATAACATAGAGCAAAAGTTGAAATTGACATGCACGCGTTGCTAATTTTGTCCGCCGGTATTATCTTTTTATTATTTATCAGTGTATGAAAGCGCGCACTGTAAACATACTGATCTTGGTAACTAAAACTATATGCACCGATTTCCTCCGAATGTACACATCTATCACAAGAGAATATTAGAAGAAAGTATATTATACAATTTATATTATTAGAGAGTAATGTTTTTCGCGTGAAAAGCGGTTCATATATATAATCCCCGTCATCGCTTGAAGTCGGTCAACGAGTAATTTCAAGTTTTCTTATGTAGTTTTTCTTTGGACCTTTTATGGAGCATACAAGAAGTGAATGGTATTTTGGTCCATATAAATGAAGAGATAATTCATTTGGCTTCAAAATGATACGATAATTATATATGTAGCAAGACTATTACATAAGTTATCAATTTTTTTTATGCCGGAAACCACTGGTATAAATTCCTGTAATAACACGATTATTACAGGAATTTATATTATTACTGACATCATACCTAGAATTTATAATATTGTATACAAATAAAACAAAATAGGTTATTCTTATATTAACTAGCTATCACTACGGGTAAAATAAAGATATATTATATGCCCAGTAGCCTTTCCACGACCGCGTACAGTGGGTCCAACGCTCCCTCTTGACGTACTGGGCCTGGGTTCGTTATCACTAGTAGCAGTGATGTCACTGTTGCATGATTCCTACAAATTTGAAAATGACCACATATCAAACAAAAGATTATGAAACAAAAATATGGCTGATACTCCTTATTTCTAGCATCGTCATATGCCCTGTCATCAGGAAATTTCTAGCCGCAACTTTTAGCCTTGTCATCAGCCAATTTGCTGATGTCGAGAAAGAATATTTCTCCTATATTTCTATGAGGGTGAATAATATATGATATTCATAGATGCATATCTTTGTTTCAAAATTTACTACGTTTATTGAAAATTTACTTCAATAAATCAATAACGTTATAATAATACAAAAATTAGATCATTTACTTACTTGTTGGGGATTGTTATCAATGTGAAACACTGAATCTTGGGCAATTGATAAAACTAGAATAGTGAAGCGAATAGTGCGAATAGTGCGAATAGTCGACGAATAGTGCGAATAGTCCGCGAATAGTCGACGAATAGTGCGAATAGTCCGCGAATAGTCGACGAATAGTGCGAATAGTCCGCGAATAGTCGACGAATAGTGCGAATAGTCCGCGAATAGTCGACGAATAGTACGAATAGTCCGCGAATAGTCGACGAATAGTACGAATAGTCCGCGAATAGTCGACGAATAGTACGAATAGTCGACGAATAGTGCAATAGAGACTTTGCAAGGCTTTCCACCGTGCTGTAGAACTAAATTTACCGAAGCGGGGCGGGGGGGGGGGGCTCTATTGACAAACATGAAATCGTGAAAACATTCGTTGATGTCAATGACGTCATACGTAATCGGTAAAAATTACGGGACCACTGAGTTTTAACAAATATTTAACAGGAAGTAGAATGACAATCAGTGGTGCCGTGGGACCCATGTTTTTTTTTGGGGGGGGGGCAAGGGCAGTACTTTTCCGACAAACCGAAAAAATTTTCCGACAAACCAAAAAGTTTTCCGGACGACAACATTTTAAATCTTCACCCCCCCCCCGTCGACAACTTTGACAATTTCCGACAGCCTTGACAATTTTCCGACAATTTCCGGCAGCATTGGCAATTTTACGACGGGTGTCAACAATAGGGGAGGGCCATGCCCCCCCTGGACCCCCCCCGGCCACGGCGCCACTGATGACAATCACTAGACGTATGACGTCATTGACGTACGTCGACGAATGTTTTCACGATTTCATGTTTGTCAACAGAGCCCCTCCCCCCCCCGGTAAATTTAGTTCTACAAAGCCTTGCAAAGTCTCTATTGCACTATTCGTACTATTCGTCGCCTATTCGTGGACTATTCGTACTATTCGCCGACTATTCGTACTATTCGTCGACTATTCGCGGACTATTCGCACTATTCGCGGTCTATTCGCACTATTCGTCGACTATTCGCGGACTATTCGCGGACTATTCGCACTATTCGCGGACTATTCGTACTATTCGTCGACTATTCGCACTATTCGCACTATTCGCTTCACTATTCTAGTTTTATCAATTGCCTGAATCTTGATAGCATGGATCAACATTGCACCTTGAAGAGGCCTGAAATTCATCAGCTGATGCATCTGTTTATTCTTCGACATCTCACGATGAATCTGAGTCGAATTCTGACTCATTTTCGGCATGTAACGTGGCCATTACTTGGTCTATGCTTAGGTAATCCTTTTGGGACGCCATTTTGTATACAAACTGTCCAAAATCCTTACAAAAATCGCTGTAAAATCGTCAATACTCAAGCTATCGCTGTGAATTTTGTTTTATTTTGAAGAGGAAGTAATGTGCTTCAAACTGACATGCGCAGTATAATTTTAGCATGTATACTTTTGCTACAGAACGCCCAAGTATCTTATGGGTCAAATTTGACCCTATCCGCGCCCTAAGGGTTAACAGTATATTTATATCGTAAAATCATTACAATCTTAACTCGTTGAAGTCGGGGGGAGTGGGGGGGGGGGGAGGGGGAAAAATCCCCCAAAGAAAAGTCAAGAAAGGGGCCCAAATATTTTCGGGCAATATAGACCACAACTCCTCTTATAGATATATGAATCCCGTACGCCTATGAGTGTACTACTACTACAATACTTGCTCTCATGTACATAGA